TATCATCCTACATCTTTCACAGTGAAATCAAATCATACTTGTCTAACACATACTCTTTTCGTTGATAGATCAGTACGTCGCTGGACCTTTTCTAATGTCCATCTCCATCTTACTCATTATATCACACCGTGAGCCAGGCCTGGATTTACATCACGAGTGCCTGTAGGCATGGAAATCTCAAGCGTCCCGAATCCCCCTATCCAATCAAAAAAAAATTGATTGTAAAATTGTTGCATATACACACATATATGGTGAGTGTGTGTGTGTGTAGTGTGTGTGCATGTATAGCATTGTGTTTAAATGTCTGTCTGTCAGTGTGTTTGAAGCTTGTTTAGCAGAGAGTGTGGGTGGGCGACAGTGTGTGTAATATTGTGGGGAGCAGTATGTGCAGCTATGTGTTCAGTCTGAGTGGGCGGAGCCACGTACAGATTACTGTGTCCGGTCTTAGTGGGCGTGACCATGCACAGATCACTGTGTTCAGTCTGAGTGGGCGTGACCATGCACAGATCACTGTGTTCAGTCTGAGTGGGCGGGGCCATGTACAGATCACTGTGTTTGGTAATAGTAGGCGGGGCCAATGACAGATCACTGTGTTTGGTATTAGTAGGCGGGGCCATGTACAGATCACTATGTTCAGTCTGAGTGGGCGGGACCATGCCCATATCACTGTGTTCAATCTGAGGGGCGGGGCATGCACAGATCACTGTCTTCAGTCTGAGTGGGCGGGATCATGCCCAGATCACTGTGTTACGTCTGTGGGGCGGGGCCATGCACCAATCACTGTGTTCAGTCTGAGTGGGCGGGGCTATATACAGATCACTGTGTTTGGTATTAGTAGACGGGGCCATGTACAGATCACTGTGTTTGGTATTAGTAGGCAGGGCCATGCACAGATCACTATGTTCAGTCTGAGTGGGCGGGGTCATATACAGATCACTGCGTTCAGTCTTAGTGGGTGGGGCCATGAACAGATCACTATGTTCAATCTGAGGGGCGGGGCATGCTCAGATCACTGTGTTCAGTCTGTGGGACGGGGCCATGCACCGATCAGTGTGTTCAGTCTGAGTGGGCGGGGCTATGTACAGATCACTGTGTTCAGTCTGAGTGGGTGGGGCCATGCACAGATCACTGTGTTCAATCTGAGGGGCGGGGCATGCTCAGATCACTGTGTTCAGTCTGTGGGGCGGGGTCATGCACAGATCACTGTGTTCTGTTTGAGTGGGCAGGGTCATGCACAGATCAGGCCCCCTCAGACTAAAGACAGCGATCCCAGAGTCCAGGAGTCTCTGTTCCGGTCAGCAAAGAGCAGACACCAGGCAGGAGGTAGGGAAGGGGTTTTAACAGGCAGTGCAGGTGCTCCCAGCAGGCATGTGTCTGTAGGTAGGTATCTACTCTGCCTAATGGCAAATCAGGCTGTGCCCTGGGAAGTCCTATCTTTACCATCTCAAGTGTAATGTAATCTCCTCAACTATCACATCAGCTGCCCATCAGTACACCATCAGTACACCATCAATACCTGACATTTCACCCCCTTCTCTCATATCAACACTTCACTTGCAACATCACCACCTCATCTATCACACCGCCATCTATCATACCGCCATCTATCATACCACTGATTATTATACCGCCGTCTATCACACCACCGTCTATCACACCACCATCTATCACACCACCGTCTATCACACCGCCGTCTATCACACCCCCATCTATCACACCGCCGTCTATCACACCGCCATCTATCACACCACCGTCTATCACACCACCATCTATCACACCACCGTCTATCACACCACCGTCTATCACACCACCGTCTATCACACCGCCGTCTATCACACCCCCATCTATCACACCGCCGTCTATCACACCACCATCTATCACACCACCGTCTATCACACCGCCGTCTATCACACCCCCATCTATCACACCACCGTCTATCACACCGCCGTCTATCACACCACCGTCTATCACACCGCCGTCTATCACACCGCCGTCTATCACACCGCCGTCTATCACACCACCGTCTATCACACCGCCATCTATCACACCGCCATCTATCACACCACCGTCTATCACACCACCGTCTATCACACCACCGTCTATCACACCACCGTCTATCACACCACCGTCTATCACACCGCCATCTATCATACCACTGATTATTATACTGCCGTCTGTCATACCGCCGTCTATCATACCACCGTCTATCACACCACCGTCTATCACACCGCCATCTATCACACCACCGTTTATCACACCACCGTCTATCACACCACCGTCTATCACACCGCCATCTATCATACCACTGATTATTATACCGCCGTCTGTCATACCGCCGTCTATCATACCACCGTCTACCACACCACGTCTATCACACCGCCATCTGTCACACCACCGTCTATCACACCGCCACTGATTATTATACTGCCGTCTGTCATACCGCCGTCTATCATACCACTGATTATTATACTGCCGTCTGTCACACCGCCGTCTATCACACCGCCATCTAGCATACCACTGATTATTATACCGCCATCTGTCATACCGCCGTCTATCACACCGCCGTCTATCATACCACCGTCTATCACACCACCGTCTATCACACCGCCATCTATCACACCACCGTCTATCACACCGCCATCTATCATACCACTGATTATTATACCGCCGTCTATCACACCGCCGTCTATCATACCACCGTCTATCACACTGCCGTCTATCATACCACAGTCTATCACACCGCCATCTATCACACAGCCATCTATCATACCGCCATCTATCACACCGCTGTCTATCAAACCACCGTCAATCATACCGTTGTCTATCATACCACCGTCTATCACACCACAGACTATTATACCGCCATCTATCACACCACCGTCTATCACACTACCGTCTATCACACCACCGTCTATCACACCCCGACTATCATACCGCCGTCTATCATACTACCGTCTATCACACCACCGTCTATCATACCGCCATCTATCATACCGCTGTCTATCATACCACCGTCTATCACACCGCCGTCTATCACACAGCCGTCTATCACACCACCATCTATAACACCACCATCTATAACACCGCCGTCTATCACAGGAGGGAAATCTCCCTCTCATGCCGCAATCACACAGTACCAAGCTCTTACAGACCGCTCTCTACTATGTGAGCTTTGTGTGTCTTACATCCCCTTTGTGTGTCTCATTCAACCCCCCTTGTGTGTCTTTCGCTCCCCCTAGCCCTGTTGTGTGTCTTTTACTCCTCCCAATCCCTCATCTGTGTCTCTTTTGCCTGCAGCCACTTTTGTGTGTCTCTCCCCCCTAACACCTTGTCTCTGCCCCCCAGTCCCTCTGTGTGTGTCTCCCTACCCCAGCTCCTTTTCTCCTTTTTTTTGCCACAACCCTTCCCTTTGTGGTCACTCTCCCCTCTTCTTCCCTTTTGTTGTGCCTCCTTACTTTCACTTTGTAGCAAATCTTCTACCTGGTCTGACAATGCTCCCAGCGAGCACGTCCTGTCAGACCGTGTAGAGCAGTCACATCCAAAGTCAGGCCCGCGTTCCAGTTTAATACGGCCCCACAAGTTATTTGGCTAATTTTATCTTTTGTGGCCCCCAGTAAATCCCTGAGCGCTGCTCAGTATCCCTGGATCTTTGAACGCTGCGGTCCTGAGCTGCACCCAGGGATTCACTGGGGGACAACAGATCGCGAGAACGCAGACGGACGTGCAGTCACTGCTCGTCCTCAGTCAGAGTTCTCGCAATCTCTTGGACGTCGACGTCGTGGGATTTGGTTCCTTCTCCCTGGAGGCAGAGAATGAAGGGACAGAATAAAAGAGAGAAGGGACAGAGAATGAAGGGACAGAATAAAAGAGAAAAGGGACAGAATAAAAGAGAGAAGGGACAGAGAATGAAGGGGCAGAATAAAAGAGAGAAGGGACAGAATGAAGAGAGCTCTGCGCTCACCCCCTGTCGGTCACTCAGACAGGTGCACCCTAGGTGGCTGCCTGTGCCGCCTTATGGTTACTACGGGCCCTGCATTATTGGCAAGATTAGGAGTTAGATTATGGGTTGAAGTAGGGGTTGGTTTAAGGGTAGGATGAAGTGTATGATTCAGGGTAGGATTAGGGGCAAATATATACATGACTACTGACTCCTTCAATCGCCAAATTATGTTTCCCTTCCCAATAAGTAACGCAACACCATGTTAAGTGGGTAAAGGCAATGGTCACACCTTTATTTAAACCAGCAAAACCAAATACTGTCAGCTGCTAGTTTTACCCAGCAGACAGGTACACTTTAAACTTCTTCCAGAGCCTCTTCAGCCTGTCCTTCGTCATCAACCAAATTCAGACTGCGACTCCCCAAGCCCGTCCGGGCATTATTAATTTACCAAATCTACTAGCGCAGGAAACCCACCACCGCAAACCTACACCCCTACTATGGGGAGGGGGGATGGGTCTCCCAAAGCCAGCGCCTGTTCAGTTATTGATTGTAACCCCATATTAAATCTATCCAAACCGATATGAGTAAGGTGTACCAAATCAGTACACATAACATTCTGGTTATCCCCTTCTAGTTCAACATGACGAATCACCAATCCACCCAGGCGTTATATGAATCTTGATATTGTCATGTTGAAGCTACATATACCTCGCTATACTCCTTTGGCATTGCGGATTGACCCAAGTAATTACCACCAGCATGGATCAGCAGTATACCTGGTTCTGTCACATACCGCCAAAGCGATCACTCCAGATAAAATTGCAGCCAGCGCAAACCCCTGATACCACACCACCTAACCTTGACCTGGTGATGAGGAATCCCAACATTCCGGTCATACGACCTCTCCTCTGCCCAACTTTTTCCCCAATAGATAAAAGAATGCCCAAGGACTCAACCATATCGAGGAGAATGAGAAATAAAGAAATAAAATGAACATTAACCATACCCAGGCACCTATAAAAGGTGTGAACGAATATACAATCGGAATCTGCTTGATTCCCTCCGACTCAGCAGCTGAATGGAAGGGTCTGACAGACCTAACCTGCTTGCCTGCATATTTGGACCGATGCGGAATTAATGAGTTGAGTAACCACTATTGTGACAGACCCATCCGTATGAACTAGAATTGCTGTGTTCGTCTGTTTTGCCGTTTGTATGAATTTCCCCATTCATATGCCTTGTTTAAGGGAATGTATTTTTTTTGTCGAACGGAACTACCGAACGGACGGCCACCCAGAAGAGAAGTGTGCTGCTGGTTAACCTATTGATCCCAATTAGAACGTTGCGGTTAACCACAAACACTTCTCAATTAAAACCGAATACAGGGTGGTCGTCGTTCGTATGTCGACCACGAGGCGGCGGCCATTTTAACCATGCGAAAGACCAGCGGTGTTCGACGTTTATTTAATGGAACTAAAAACTGACACTTTTTCAACCGAACACCGCTGAAGCCGTCGACCTCCCTTCTCAATCGACAGAAGTATGCGAACACCGGCCGTTCGAGAGGTTTAAATGCACGAATGGACTTACCCCAGATAGCCTTCCCATGGAGTCAATCGCATACCGAAGAACTGTAATAGACTTTGACTCCATGGCGATTGAACTGTGCGTATGGGATCTGAGCGCTATTCGCCAATAATATGCACTCAGATCTAGGCTATCTGGGGATGTGTTATACGAATGTAATATGTTCGGCAGTTATAAAGTTATGTATTTTCATGTGTTTTGTGACTTATATTAAAAATGGCGATTTGCCTCTGCTCTGGGAGATAATTGAATTACTTCTCAATTATCTCCCGAGCAGAGGGGAGGAAACTGTGATGCATGCTGGGAATATTGTGAGGTTGTATGTCTAAAATGTCCCCATGTCCTTCTGCTATTACAGTCTCCCATTTGGTCCCCTAGGGGAGTGTCCACCAAGTGGGAGACTTGCATAAATACGGGCAGGTAGCCCACAGTAAACTCAGTTCGTGTTTTACCCTCAAAGCGGAGCTTGGTCTCGTTATTGGGGGGATTTTATTATGGCAACTAGAGACTGCTTATTGGAATTATTTGCCGCTTGGAAGATATTGGCGTTCGGCTACTATTGGCAATTCATGTATTTGGAGCTCGTGAAGGGAAGGAGCCGTACAGGTACCGTTCGGGAGTTTGGAGTGTTCCCTGGCTGGTGGTTCGCATGGTTATACTGCATATGCTACCAGACCACATTATTGCGAACGGGGAACATTCACTAAATGGCGGTTTGTACATTTACTACTGGAGGTACCGTAACAACTATCATCCACTCTTAAAGAGACACTGACATAAACACTCTAGTGAACGTATAAGAACCGACCCATATGCATGCAACAAAAAAACACAAAACATAAATATTTTGACAGAGGCTTGTGTTAAAATGGTTAAATGAAAAGTGTCAAAATGCTCTTGGTTAAATACCCAGGGGGGTGTACTTTCTACCAATATATACTTATATTTAGTGGTTTCAGATTGTGTGACTACTATAAAAGTAATGCCAAATGTTGCTAAGTTTTAGCTTTAAATCCGTAATTCACTCCGTGCAATATTTGTTTCATAAAAATGATTTTAAATCATAGATATCTTGGGATGTTAAACAATCAGGATTAATTAGTGAATCTATTTTGAATTAGTTTTCTTTAGTGGTACTTTTGTAGAAATAAAACCAAGGGGAAAAAGTGTTTGCTTTTTTTCCATTTTGTAATATTTTATTCATATTTAATATTGTGTAGTGTCTAAATATAGGGTATCAAAACAAATCCCTATTTTTCCAATTTTTTTTATTTAAAAACTATGCATAAAATGCAATGGGTGCACAAACATGTATTCCTGACACTATAGTGGTAAAATGACTGTTTAGATTTCCTGGACCCCTATCTTTTCTTTAGAAAGGTGAGTTTATTTAAAGGGATATTGTAGCGCCAGGAATACAAAACTGTATTACTAAAAACCCTTTATTTATTTACATGATTCCAGCGCTGATGTCCCTCGGCACTGGATCAACACTCGCCCCCTCTGACGTCCCGCTACAAGCGGCCGCTAATGCGCATGTGCGGCAAGTGCTGCGAGTGCATAAGACCACCCCATAGGAAAACATTTAATGAGTGCTTTACTATGTGGGGGAAATCTGATGCTGGAGGTCCACATGCACAGCGTAAGGACGTCCATCGTTAGATACCGAACTAAAGGTCCGTTTCAATCCAGGAAGCCCTCTAGTGGCTGTCTGGTGAATGTGTGTGTTTGCCAGTGTATGACTGTTAGCAATTGTGTGTGCCTGTCAGTATATATCTGTGAGTGTGTATCCGTTAGTGATGGGTGTGTGTTTGTCAGTGTATGTCTGTGAGTGAGTGTGCGTGTCTGTCTGTAAGTGTGTGTCTGTCAGTGAGTGCGTGTGTCTGTATGTCTGATTCTGAGTGATTGTGTGTTTGTCAGTGTGTCAAATCAGTGACCATGTGTTTATGTCAGTGTATGTGTATCTCAGAGTGTGTCTGTCACTGAGTGGCTGTGTCAGTGTGTGTTTGTCCGTCAAAGTGCGGGTTTGTCTTAAACTGGAAGAGGTGCGGCCTTAACAGGAACGGGTGGGGCAAATTTAGACAGCCACTAGAGGCTGAAATTGATGTTGCAATGTAAATAATGCAGTTTCTCTGGAACTGCAATGTTTAATATTGCAGCACTAGGTAAAAAAGGGACAATGAGCTGAAGTGGTCTGGGTGCCTACTATAGTGTCCCTTAAACTTTTTTCCAGCACCGCCCCTGTCTGGATGGGGCTGGAACCACCTCCATGGCTGAGGTCATCAAATTCAACGATTTCAGCCAATCCAATGCATTGCAATAGGAAAGCTTCAGGAGGCTATTGCAAATGCGCGGCAAAACACTGTGCTGCGTCAATTAGTATCTCCTCCTTGAATCAATGCATCTCTATGGGAAGCATTCAGCGTCTCCATGCAGAGCACATAGTGTCCCTTTAAACAAAAAGGGTGAAACTGTGATAGAATGAACGCACGACAAAAGTGCCAAGAACAAATGCTTTACATCTGAAAAGAGTTTTAAGGGGTTAAGAGTTGGACATTAGGAGCACTGTGAATATAGAAGGGTGTTTATTTAAGAAGTTGTTTCAGCACTATGTCAGGCAAGTTCTAAAAACCAAGAGTGAGTAATGTAAAGGGCTGGAATTTGTATAAACTATAGACAAGAGAATGGATACTAGCCATCAGCTGCCCTCTCTCCACTATCAAACTATTACCTAGCAGAAGCCCTCATAACTTCAGGGTTAATGAAGTGCTTTATTACAGTAACCTGAGTGTCTTATTACCCCGTAACATCTTATTACAGTAACCATGCTCCTGAGTGCCTTATTACCCTGTAACATCTTATTACAGTAACCCAGCTCCTGAGTGCCTTATTACCCTGTAACATCTTATTACAGTAACCCGGCTCCTGAGTGCCTTATTACCCTGTAACATCTTATTACAGTAACCCGGCTCCTGAGTGCCTTATTGCCCCGTAACATCTTATTACAGTAACCCGGCTCCTGAGTGCCTTATTACCCTGTAACATCTTATTACAGTAACCCAGCTCCTGAGTGCCTTATTGCCCCGTAACATCTTATTACAGTAACCCGGCTCCTGGGTGTCTTATTACCCTGTAACATCTTATTACAGTAACCCGGCTCCTGAGTGCCTTATTGCCCCGTAACATCTTATTACAGTAACCCGGCTCCTGGGTGCCTTATTACCCTGTAACATCTTATTACAGTAACCCGGCTCCTGAGTGCCTTATTACCCAGTAACATCTTATTACAGTAACCCGGCTCCTGAGTGCCTTATTACCCCGTGTGACATCTTATTACAGTAACCCGGCTCCTGAGTGTCTTTTTACCCTGTAACGTCTTATTGCAGTAACCCGGCTCCTGAGTGCCTTATTACCCTGTAACATCTTATTACAGTAACCCGGCTCCTGAGTGCCATATTACCCTGTAACATCTTATTACAGTAACCCGGCTCCTGAGTGCCATATTACCCTGTAACAACTTATTACAGTAACCCGGCTCCTGTGTGCCTTATTACCCTGTAACATCTTATTACAGTAACCCTGAGTGTCTTATTACCCTGTATTATCTTATTACAGTAACCCTGAGTGCCTTATTACCCTGTAACATCTTATTACAGTAACCTGGCTCCTGTGTGCCTTATTACCCTGTAACATCTTATTACAGTAACCCAGACCCTGAGTGCCTTATTACCCTGTAACATCTTATTACAGTAACCCGGCTCCTGAGTGCCTTATTACACCTGTAACATCTTATTACAGTAATCCGGCTCCTGAGTGCCTTATTACCCTGTGACATCTTATTACAGTAACCAGGCTCCTGAGTGCCTTATTACCCTGTAACGTCTTATTACAGTAACCCGGCTCCTGTGTGCCTTATTACCCTGTAACATCTTATTACAGTAACCCAGACCCTGAGTGCCTTAGTACCCTGTAACATCTTATTACAGTAACCCGGCTCCTGAGTGCCTTATTACGCCTGTAACATCTTATTACAGTAATCCGGCTCCTGAGTGCCTTATTACCCTGTAACGTCTTATTACAGTAACCCGGCTCCTGAGTGTCTTATTACCCTGTAACATCTTATTACAGTAACCCAGCACCTGAGTGCCTTATTACCCTGTAACGTCTTATTACAGTAACCCGGCTCCTGAGTGTCTTATTACCCTGTAACATCTTATTACAGTAACCCAGCTCCTGAGTGCCTTATTACCCTGTAACGTCTTATTACAGTAACCCGGCCCCTGAGTGCCTTATTACCCTGTAACGTCTTATTACAGTAACCCGGCCCCTGAGTGCCTTATTACCCCTTAACGTCGTATTACAGTAACCCGGCTCCTGAGTGCCTTATTACGCTGTAACATCTTATTACAGTAACCCGGCTCCTGAGTGCCTTATTACCCCGTAACATCTTATTACAGTAATCCGGCTCCCGAGTGCCTTATTACCCCGTAACATCTTATTACAGTAACCCGGCTCCCGAGTGCCTTATTACCCCGTAACATCTTATTACAGTAACCCGGCTCCTGAGTGCCTTATTACCCTGTAACATCTTATTACAGTAACCCGGCTCCTGAGTGCCTTATTACCCTGTAGCATCTTATTACAGTAACCCGGCTCCTGAGTGCCTTATTACCCTGTAGCATCTTATTACAGTAACCCGGCTCCTGAGTGCATCTTATTACAGTAACCCGGCTCCTGAGTGCCTTATTACCCCGTAATATCTTATTACAGTAACCCGGCTCCTGAGTGCCTTATTACCCTGCAGCATCTTATTACAGTAACCCAGATACTGAGTGCCTTATTACCCCGATACCCAGTTCTTGACAGATGGGAGATAGGTGTATTTTCAGGCTGTATTTAAATACTTCACAATCTTTGGATGAAGATGCATTCCAAACAATTGGGTATGTGTCTTTTTTCAATTCCAACCTGCAAGGCACAAACTTCTCGTTCCAAATGATGAGCCTCGGCCTGCCTGCTCCTGCATACAGGAGATGGGTGCCCTCCAAATCATTTTCTTTATAACCATTATTTTATATGTATTTATAGCCCTAAGCTTTCCACATTCTTTTTTAAGTCTAATTCCTCATACAGTTCCGTAATAAGTAGTACGGATTGTATTTTTTGCTCAGTATTTTTATTAATTTGGACTGGTGTAGAGATGTTTTAAAAAATAATTTAAAAATCTAGAATTATTTAATTGAGGTGTCTCAATATAGTCGATATATTAAATGACAAGCTGTAGTGGATTTTATGTTTTAATATTTGCCTGTTTTACACTAATAAACCAAGACAGGCAGCAATGAGCTTGGATGTGCTATCAGCCTGGGCCAGTGACACACAGCAGCCTATGACTAATTACCTTCATAGACGTGAAACAAAACAAAATGGATGCCTCTCTTTCCTGTCATTTATGCATGTCTTCCAATGACATTAGTCTAAAAATCAAATAAAGTATCATCTGAGTTTGATAGTAAGCTTGGATTACTACTAAAACATTAAATGCTGAATACTTGTTATACTTTTATTTAGTCCTTAAGTGTTTAGTTATTATTATTATTATTTAAAAAAGCTCCAACAATTTCTGTAGCACTGTACAATAGGTGGACTAATATGTAAGTGTGTGCGATAAGACAAATTGGCCGCACAGACTTTGTAGTCTTTCTGTGGTCCCCCTCCCCGTGCCAGCTCATCTCCCCTGTGTAGCGTGGCCGAGCAGACCTCGGGACAGTAATTTCTGTTTCCTATCTCAGGTATGACAGGAAGCTGTTAGTTGCTCTCAGGAGTTGCTTTCCTATTAGACCGAGTAGAATACAGAAGCTCCACTACCGAAACACTGTACATACAGACTCCAGACCAGAGCTGAATTTACAGCGAGGCTGACATGGCATTTGCCTTGGGCGGCACTTTAAGTGGGGTGTCAACAAACACTGCTAACCAAAGTCAAATACCTTGTCAACCTTTTTCATGGGGGACCCAAAAGCTGGCCGGCTGGCCACCTCAGGGTCCCCCAGAGTCACGCAGCTGCCAATATTGCGGGCGGGCGGCGAGTGAGAGGTAGAGCCATGCTCTGAGCTCTTCCTGCTCAGCTCCCTTGCGCGCCCATTGGTGATGCTGGAGCCAGAATATGTCGTCACTCCGGCTCCCAGAATCACTCAGCGTCGTGCGAGTGAGCTAAACAGGAAGATTACAGTTACCTCGCTGCCTGCATTGACCGGACGCCCATCCACTCTGCTGCACAGGAGCCCAGCAGCTGCCAGACAGCCCAACAGGTGCCAGGCCGCCCAGCAGCCCCACTGGACCTCAGGTAAGGAATCCACTCCAGCTCTTCCAAAGGTAGAGAGGTTGGGTGGATTTAAATAAAAAAAAAAAAATATATATATATATATATATATACACACAAAAAAAAAAAAAACAGTTTGTGAGCGTGTGAGGCAATGTTTGTGAGTGTGAGTCTGTCAGTATCAGTGTGTGTGTGTGTGTGTCTCTGCCAGTGTATGTCTGTTAGTGATAGTGTGTGTATGTCAATGAATGTGTATGTGTCTGTCAGTGTATGTCTGCCAGTGAAAGTGTGTGTCTGTCAGTGTGTGTTCGCCAGTGTATGACTGTTAGTGAGTGTGTGTGTGTGTGTGTCTGTCAGTGTATGTTTGTTAGCGAGTGTGTGCCTGTCAGTATATATCTGTGAGTGTGTATCTGTTAGTGAAGGGTGTGTGTCTGTCAGTGTGTCTGTGAGTGAGTGTGCGTGTCTGTTAGTGTGTGTGTCTGTATGTGTGATTCTGAGTGATTGTGTGTTTGTCAGTGTGTCAAATCAGTGACTGTGTTTATGTCAGTGTATGTGTATCTGAGTGGCTGTGTCAGTGTGTGTCTATCGGTCAAAGTGTGGGTTGGTCTTAAACAGGAAGAGGTGGGGCATTAACAGGAACGGGTAGGGCAAATTTAAATAAGGGGGGGTGCCTAGGACAGCACAAATCCAAAATACACCACTGCTACAGGAAGAGCTTAGAGCATGGCTCTACCTCTCACTCGCCGCCCGCCCGCAATATTGGCAGCTGCGTGACTCTTAAACTCATTGAAGTGGTCATGGTGTTGGAGTAACCCTTTCATTATAAACCCATATAACTAACCCTTAAAAATGACGGGTACCGACAGCTAACATGGCCGGTTGCACATTATATGAGCTCCTGCAGCAATGGACTAAAGAGTAAAGATACCGACCGATATACCAGCATAAGCGGCAAACAGGGACCGGTACAAGACGCACAACGGCATCAGGAACAAAATGAGTTCTGTCCGGCACCAGTGCGCTGCGGAAAAACTGAAACTGACCATGCGGCCTATACTAGAGCGAAACCTGAGGACCGGGGGAGGCGGCCGATCTCCTGGCACAGGACATGCTCCTAAGCCCATTACAGCTCTGCTACCCCCCCCTCTGGACCGGTGGGGGACATCCCGGTCCTCGCTGGGGACGATTACCCCCACATGTACACCCGATCAAGCGACAAAATCTTCAATCAAACGGGACCCCATAGGCCCAACCAAGATGGCGGCGCGGATGAGGGCTGGGACCCAGCACATATGTATCAAGCCACCCAAGCACACAGGGGTTTTCATTGACCGGCTACGCACCTATTTCTGGGCACAACTTAAAGCCCGAAGACAACCCTACAAGCTGGCGATGAGGGAGGTGGCAGCGTGGATACGCCCGACCACCCGACGCATCCTACAATGGAACCCCCCTCGCAGAGCCGGAGCGGCCTCCAGACAGCATCAGAGCCGAAGCTCGGAGGGGCGAGTGACAGTGCCGGGTCCCACGAGAGCCGAAACTCACGTGCACAAGCCAAAGAACAAGGCCCAATCTACTCCTCATCCAGTGGCCCCAACAACCAAAGGCCGACACATCACGTACCGCAAAACGAGATGGCGGGAAAAGGCGACATATCCCTCGGGCACCAGCACTCCCTCGCATCCACGCGAGGCACAACCTCACAACATGCCGAAAAGCACCACCATGCAGCAAACAACCCCACGGCAACGCGAACTTACACTTCTGCATAGACTGGGCATCGGATGAGCAGATGAAAAGACCCGGACTGCCGGCGGCTAGCTCCGGTGATGACGCCGATAAAGAAGACCCTGCAGAACCCACTCAACCTGGCGGACATTTGCAAAAAGATGCTAGACCCTTTTTATGTTTAAAGCACATCTTGCAGTTCCTCACCTTACTGTTGGGACGTCTCATCTTCCCACATATCATTGGCGTATCTAACGACATTATTACTCAAGCGATGATATGTTATCAGCCATACAAATAGTACACGTTTATTGTTAGTCTCTCTAATAACTAATCATACTGTTCTCTCACGGTGTAAACTCTGCTATGAATAATCGCTATAAATAGCTTAATAATCTACATGTAGATTCTCTTAAGCAACTACCAGTACACCTAGCATAACCTGCAATAGGAACACCTCACTCTATAGCACTAAACTTATATTTCTCTGCTATGTTTAATCTTGTACTTTACCTTCTATATGCAGCAACACAGAACAACACTTAGATAAGCAATGTTATTATATATAAAATTGTGCAGTATCCACTAATGCCTAACTACTGTCAAGCTATGTTGAAAAATGCTTACTCTAGCTGTTGTGGCATTGTAAGCCAGTTGTGAATTATGTATGCACAAATAAAATAAAGAATTTAAAAAAAAAAAAAAAATGACGGGTACCGAGAAGCATGCTTCTCATTATTCTGACACAGAATGGCATATCATCTTGCTTGCTGCCATATTACTTGGTAAACCCCTAGTTTGGGATACAGATACGGGCCTTCATGCTTTTCCTGTAAGTCCCCATTGCCAGGAAAAGGCTCATTATATTAATCTGACTAAAGGCAACAAGGTTTGTACTGTAGCAGCATTGGCTTCCCCCGTGTGATGGAGACTGTTGGGACACAGGGGAGAGTCTAGGTGTTTAGCACTCCCTAATTTACTGTGAATTATATGACATGGACAAACATGAGTCACTAAGCTAATATTCCAGTTGAAGAATGGCTGCACTTGCTAACACCATGTGCATTATTAAATCCCTGACGATAAGCTTAAAATATTTTTTCTTTTTTTAAAATTCTTTATTTTTGCAGTGCATAGGTTAGCTAACAAGCTTACAGTGACATTTTGATATAAAAAAAGTACAATTAGGTTGAAAGCAAAATTTTCATAAAATGTCAGAGATACAGCACTTTTTTTTTTTTTTTTAAATAACAGAAAATAAACAAGTCTGGGTCAATATACAAGAAATTAATTAGGAGATACTCAGGCTAAGTCAACTGACAGCACAAGAAAGCAGAGGAGTACCACCAAGAGTATTGTGCCTGGGCTCACATTAATTGCTGAGACAGATAGAGAGAAACGTAATACACTCAGATGCAAAGACAAACTAGCACTGTTTTAACAGGGGATTCCAGAACAGCAGTCTATTCAACCTACACCCGTAGCATACAGGCAGAGTCCAAGTAGATGTAAAGGGTGACTGAGGTCACCCTGGGCTCCATGTATCGCCTCTGCCTTCCAGCATCCATGATCACCGGCTCTGTCCCTTTCAACCAGGAAATGTGTGTGAGATCTTATGGAGCGATTGTCTTCACAAGTACACAAACTGCGTGCAGCTCGCTGGTTCCACTTGGGTCTCCGCCTGGGAGGGGTATTCAGGGTGGCAACTCTGCGATCCTCCGGGTCACTGGAGCTGACAATGCGAGCTGCCTCCATGTCCTTAAGCTCTGCGAGAACTGCTCACAGGTTGCGTTGAATGCTCGTGAGAAGCTTTCTTCTCAGTTCTCCATCGGGGTCTTTACATCATGCTTCGCGGCAGTGCCGCTATTAGCCATTTTGGACAGGCCGGGTGAACCCAGGATTGGCAGAAAGGTAAAAGGTGGGGACCTGGATAACCCTCGCCGGTCCAAAGGGGGGGGGGGGGTGTACGGGGAACTAATGCTCACAAGAGAACCTGGGCAGTCCACCTCAGAGAGATGGGCTGCTTCCCCCAACGAGGAGACACACCAGGGCGCAGCTTGTTGGTCAAGACCAATGTTACCCAAGAGGTGCCAAAGGACTTTGCAGGTCACAAAGCATTTAGGAAGAGGGTAATAATATTCTCAAAAACATGTAATTAAATAAATATATTGGGAGATCAATCCTGCTGCATCCTCTCAGTATGGCGGTCAAGTCCCGCCCCCATAAGCTTACATTATTATGTAGGATATGTTTGTTCAGATTGTTTTTGCGTCTGTCACCAGAACAAAATAATATTTAAAGAGATACACTGGATATCTGACGTGCAATAGTGTATCTAACAGGATTATGGGGGAAAATATCTTGAGTTTAGTTTTTTCGTAGTCTAGATTCAATATCCCATCAAACAAGATACAAACATTTATCCTGTAGCGCCCTGCGCAGCCAGAATATTCCATCAATTTACTTATAAGTGCTTTTGCAATATCTTAAAGGATGAATGTGAAAATCATTTATCTTAGCAAACTAATATTCAGTTCCACCACATAGCCATATTGTGCTAAGCCCGCCACTGTGTCACAGTACCCCAATATCAGTGGGTCGTACACTAATTTTTAACCAGAGACTCTCCTCATTCTATGCTTCCCATCCACCATAGGTGCCTCCTTTGCGGAAAGCATAAATTGCGGAGAGTCTCTGGAAGCAGTTTAAGCAATAAGTATTGCAGTTAGCATGTCTCCCATGTTAAAATTAGTAAGGACTCACCATTATTGGGGTACTGTGACGTAGTGGTGGGCTTAACACAATATGGCCTTATGGTGTAACTGAATCCCCATATTTGTAAGATAGGAGGAGAATTTAATAATATTTAGACAGGCAGGGTTATTCACTAAGGTAGGAAACAAGAAATTCGAATGAGCAAAAATTCTAACTGAATTTAAAGCGAATTTTAAATTAACGTAAAAGTTGCCAAAAATTGAACATTTCAAAAAAGGCAAATATATTTCCAGTTCGCTTCTTCAGCCTTAAATTTGAAATTCACTTTGAATTCTCACTTTAGTGAGTAACCCTGTAATAACCATTTAAAAGAGCTGACCAGGATGAATTCGCTGACGCTGCTATAGACACAGATTGGCTTTATAAACTTGAAATTGTCAATTTAATACATTTCTGAGTTTAGTAAATAAATCTCGATTTAAAAACACGTTGTCTACTGGTAGTAATTACACCGGTTATATCTTATAAAAGAAGGGTAGTTATTTATTTTATTAATCTTTGGAAATACTGTGTCCTATTTAAATCCACTGGGCAGCATCGTGTGGTAGGATCCACATGTTACTATCGTCTAAAATCATGTATTCAGTAAGGTTAGCAAAGAGGTTACTGAGGAGCAATCCACGGATTATGGAACTCTCATAACTCTTTAAAATTAAATACATATATATTTCATTGTCCTATTACAGGTTAATGTGTCTGTCTCCTGTTAGATTTTTATTATGTTGCTTGTCATTATAAATGTCTCCTAAAACAGCAAAATTTAACAATTTAACATTTAAAAACCCTGCGAGTGCCCTATACTTTTAGTTTTGCGTATGCTTTTGTATCAGTTTGTATTGTATATATTGTACGTTTATATATTTAAATAGATATATATCAGTATTATCAATATACCCAGAACCTACTGTATCCATGTGAGCATTACATTGTTAATTACTCTTAATTCCTAATAATAATAACATTTTCTAATAATACTATATTGCACAATGAAATATTCGCTAATATGCCCCTCCTGGGGTCCTTTAATTCTGCACATGGGGATCCCATTTAATGATGTCAGTCTGTCTCACATTCTTCCTTTTGTCTGTCAGTGCAAAGAAATTCCCAGTGATCTGAGCGTAGGGACTGTGTGTAAGACGGTGTGGGGGGGGGGGGAGTCTTACATAAGGGTGGCAGCTTTTCCTAAAATAGTCATAATGGAGGCCCACAAAGCAGTGAGCACAATGTAAGAAGCTCAGCGTCTCTGCTCATTCTCACCGTGCTGTTTAAACACAGAAAGTGGGGGCGAGGCGAGGGGGGAGAGGTTCAAAGAATGGAAGGAGAACAGGAGGAGAGGGGAGAGAATGGCAGAATGGGTGTGAAGGGAAAGACAGGAAGAATGGAAAGGGCACACCATTAAAAGTTTACAGAATAATGACATTATACATGATGTGTGTCACGAGAGAAGCAGGACTCATGACACAAAGCCCACAGATTAATAGGATTATATGCTGTACAACAGGACGTCCCATACAAATCCCACTGATAAGCAGACTGTACATTGTGTGCCACCTGGGGGGACACTGTGGGGACATTATAATCCTCCAAAATATCTGAAGCCACCGAACCAGGGAATGTCATTTGTAGGTGTTCCTAAAGCTGGCTTCTGAACGGTTTAGAAACTGACAGGTATTTTGGGATGGTTAGCGGCATTGTAAGGTATTAGGAGCACTTATTAAAGGTGGCTTCAGTGATGTGTGACATTAAGGGCTAGGTGGTCATGTCGACATGTTTGATTTAAAAGATATTTTGGCAGATATATTGAGTGCTTGCACAGTCACATATAAGAGCTAAGGTATGAATTTAGGGATGGGTTGTCACATGGGCAGCAGGTATTTAGGAATGGTTGGCCCCACTGGAAGATATTTATGGATGGATGGAACGAACTATGACCTCAGTTTACTATACCGCAGGTGATCTGATTGGTTGCTCAGAGTATGGGTTAAATGTGGTGTGTTATAGTATAGATTATAAAGAATAATATTAATTATATCCTGAGCTTAGAGGTGCCGTGGAAAAAACCCTAAACATTAGCAGCTGTGTAATGCAGGTGTAGTACAGATCTTTTACCAAGTTCTGTAGGATTACCCCCAAATATTTATTAATTCCAATTCTAATTCTGGTATTTTTAGTAGAATCACCATATTGCCAATCTCTCATTATATTCACATAAAAATAGAAGAAATTGAAGCATTTTACATTTAACGCAGTTTGAAATGAAATTTCCGAAGGCTGCTGGTTGGGCTCCACCAGTAGAAGTGCCTTGTCACCTTTATATTTGGCTTCTCTTCTTATCAAGTAATTCTCACAGAGGCATTTCGTTAGACTTGTCAACATTTTCACCACGCCTAAATGGACTGCAACCTAATTCAGTCCTCATTTTTCTAGTTCTTCGTTCTGATTGGTCGGGGGAACATACCATACTTTGACACATTTCACCTTCGATGAGATAGGGTTGGCATGTGACTCTGTATTATCTCATTCACTCGTCTTTCCTTTGGCACAATAATTAATGGAAATTAAAACATTTATTTTTAGCAAACTCTAGGTGAATTATATCAGACTGGCCAGTCTGTTGATACATTGATTTTGGAGTGAGGAGTAAGTGAATGCTGCAACAGTAATCTACCACACAGTAAGTGCTCCTGAAAACATTAGTACAGGGGTGATTATAAAAAAAAAAGAAAAAAAAAGAAAAAAAAAAAAAGAGAGAGAGAGACTAGAAGTAATATTCTGCCAAATTTGGATGTTCAAGAATTCCTGAAAAAGATTAATGCAGCATGGGAATCAGAAGCATTTGGGACTCATAAACGGCTACACTGGGCAGATCAGTTTATTACAGCAAGCTGGCAAAGAAGAAAATTGAGGCAGCCAGTAGATTTTGGAGGATTCCACGATCTTAAGTTATTTGAGGTCAGTCACCCTCATTTTTAGTCATTTAAGATCACCAGTATAATTGCAATCAAATATTTTTTTGCTGAAGATTCCCCTTGGTTTCAGACCGTGTTTTATCCCCAGTGGAACACAAGAGAGACCGCTCAAGACATACGTAAGATAAAGGGCTTTATTTAAAAAATAAATTTTGTATGTAATCACGAGAAAGTGTTAACATTAGGAAATCAGTGTATAGGATTAGGTTTGTGGACTACATTTCCAACAATGCTTAGCCAACCTTTATAGGGGTGGGGGGCTCTGCATCATGGGACATGTAGTTCCGAAATATATACTGTGCCAAAGTAAGCCATCATTAATATGAAATAACTTACCAGGGTTCCTTGAACCCACAGTCCAGAAATTACCTAAAGGCACTTGTTATATGTATTTATTAAACTCCTTTATCCTACCTCTCTTTATGGCAATATTTCCCTTTACCCTGCCTTTTCCTTTGACCATTTTGTTGTAAATGTCTTTACCTATGGTACTTCCAAAATTCACATACCGCAGACATTCATTAGTTATAGATATACTCTAGCATGCAAGCTGTTGCAGACCATAACTCTCTGATAAATAGCTTTCACATAAGTTTTAAAGGCTACCCCAATCATTGTTGGTCCCTTCCCATTTCTTTACCTTTATCTTTGCTCAGTCTGCTGCAATCTATGTTTTTAATTTTAGGTCCTACTTAATAAAACCGGAAATTGAGTCACAGTATAAGTATAAGGAGTGCTGCTTGCATTTGACGGACGATAAGGTCCATCTTGTAACATCTCCCGTAGACCTTCGTGAGTGATTGCTTTCATAGAATGATTGGTGGGTTCAGTGCAGCACTGGTATGATACATGTGATCTTCACGAGGCCTCAGAAGATTGATAGTGGCTAATCCCTGAAAGTTTTACTTCCGCCATGTAAAAACTATTTGAAACCATGTGGTCCAGCCACGCAACAACAACCTGATGTGGCCAGGATGAGGAAAGTTTCTCCATGAGCTCAGTCGGCGTGGTTTCTCTTAGGCTTTCCTTCAGGCTTGGATTTCACAACACGATAAAAACCACGGGCGATCTTGTACATCCAAAAGACATTGAGGATGTCCAGTATTACGCATGACACAATCCAGGCCACCTGTGGTCCAATACCTAGTCTAATGTAACCCTCTGTGCCAAACGTAGCAAAGACTTGAGAGTAATAGCTGGGAATTACAGCGATCCGGACCACGAAAAAGACAGCAGCCATGGCAAAGCCGTTTAACAGGACCATCCATGAGGAACGTGGCATCCCTACTGCATCAAAGAACCACCTGTGGCAAGTAAGATCAAGGTTTACAGGTTATTGTGTATATTGAGTGGGAATGCTTATAATCTAAAAGGCCTTTTAATATTGTCTTAGATCTGGTAAGAGGAGAAACGGCAAAGAGTGGTGTACAAAACAAAAAAAAAAAAATAGCATTTAAACACCTTAAAGTATTTATAAACTATACAGTGATAATTGTGTGGCCCAAATAAAGAAGGTCAGTCTCACTGGGGAGCATAGTGTCCTAATGACAGTGACATGTTTAAAGGTTCAATGCCACTGGGCAATATAGTGACTAAATGACAAAGACATGTTATATAGGTTAAAGGGTCAGTCCCACTGGGGACAATAAAGTTCTTACCTCTGGTTCACAAATGGTGTGGAAAGCTCCGAAATCAGTCGAAAGTTGGCAAAATATGGCAGAACGCCCCGATTCTGTGACGAAACAGATCAATAATAATTGTTAGAACCAAAGAAATTACAACTACAAGGCTTAAAATACATTGTAAATACATCACAAAGGAATGTATTGCTATGCACTACAAATATAGTATTAAGAAGATCAATACTACATTGCCCTGGATGCTTTGCAAATAAAGAGTGGACAATAATCTGAAATAAAGATCGATGTCTGTACCCATTATAATAAGTGGTAAATGGGGCTTCTAAAGAATCACACAAGTGCTCAGCCATATGTAGGGAAAGTATGTTTTTAAATATAGGTAAATTCCCCCGGGATCAATGATATCGCTATAGAGTGCTTAGTGTGGGAGTTATGTATAAAAAGTGTTCTGAAAGTGGTCTAAAGTACTAAATGTGGTGCAATTGCCACAGAAACAATTGGAACCAGGAGGGACATTCCATTGGTGACTATGCCCTTTTTTTACACAGTTCCACCACTTCAGAACTTCAGTTACTTATTATACATAACCCCTCTTTCTGTCAATCACAGTGCTGGGATATTTTACTATATCACTACTGACCTCTGGTGGCTTCAGGGAGAAATGGCCATCAGTGATTGATAGAATTTGAAAGATTTTGATTCTCCTAAGAAGACTATTTTAGCGTTTACAGATGCTTGCCTGGGTCCCTAACTTGTAATGACCCTGCCGGGATCACCAGATAGATGTGTTCTGTTCCCCTAGATGTTGCTACACTGAAGAAGCCGTGATGTCATTATTTGCACGTAAAAAAACCCATCAAATAATTCTATCTGTTGTGGCCATATTTTCACTTAAAATATTGATATCTTTTACCTGATACACTTATGATGGTTACTTGAAAAATAGCTGCTACCAGATATGTGACTGAGGCACTCATGTATGTATGTCTGTGTGTTTAGTGATGTAGAATGTGTCATCCCAGGAACATAAATGTATAGTTTTCTGATTTTCATACTTGTCCTGTGTGTATGTGTGTGTGTCAGTATGTATTTGTTTGTTTTGTGTGTGATTGTCTGAGTGTCTGTGTGTATCGCTCTTGGAATTGGGAAATAACATTTACAGTGTCGCCCCCTGTAGAAATGTTGGAGAGCCGTGTAACTATGAAATCAGAGCTCGCTTATCCTGCTAACAGATTATCGTCGTCGTTTCTCCTAATACATGAATAAAAAACTAATTGAGGACAAATTGTCACCTAGATCTCAAAAACTGCATTAACATAAGCAGGAAAGGTGGGTGCATAGAGAATGTATTTACATCACAGTTAATAGGCTTTCCACATTCCATTAGTCTCTGTGTACACAATATTTCAATATATACCAATCCTTTAGAGCAGGACTAGGTAACGTGCAGCACTCCAATTGTTGTGAACTGCATCTCCCACAATGCTCTAACTGTACAGTTAAATCAGAAGAGAACTACTGAGCACAACTACACATTGCAGAGTGATCAGCATGCCTGTTTTCTTACAGATTTCCTAAGCCTCTTATGTGGTCATTGGGCTCAGCGCTAAGGATTCTGGGTAGGGGCGCACAAGCAACTCTTACAAGGATGACCTTTAACCCCTGCCTGAATTTTAGACCTGATCATCCAGTATATGTACACTATCTAAGACAGCTTTTGAAACATAGTCCAAGTTAGCACACCTTATATAGCAATATAGCTTGGCCGTGAAATGTTAAGATATAAACTGTGATGGCAGATTAGAATCAACTGGATAATTCATCCTGACCACCAAGTATTGGGAATACAGAGTTTAAATTCCACCAGGATGATTGAACTCGACTGTTCTATTTCTCTAATGCTGCAACAAAGTCTCATTAATTGGAAGACTCAGACGGTGGATAGTTCAGATCTTTATCACCCAGTGCAATTTCAATTAGGAACTGACAAGATCTGCATGTCTTTGGAGCACAATGTATTGGGGGGGAAAATGTGAATTTCACTTTTTTATTTTTTACACGTTACACGTTCACCAATAAAAAGAGAAGAGGAGTGGAATGTAGATAATACCAGAACATATCCATATGCGTAGAGCACCGCCATGTGGTGACAAACGATATAAGGATCTCTCATCACTTTCCAGAAACGAGCAAGGAGTACCAAGTCTGAAAGAAAGAGAATATTGGGTTACGTTCAGTGTATGGATCAGAACTTCTCCTTATAATGAAAATGAGAGTCTCTGATCTCCGCAGTTATCAGCGTGCCCATCAGAACTGTCACCCAGCAGCTGAATCTCCCAGGAGAGAGAGGCAGCTCTGGATCACTAAGCAGACCACAGCTGCAGAATGTCTGCTAACTGTTTACCAAGCGATTCCACTCATACTGTGTGATTAGTAGACTTGCTCCTAATATCCCACAAACTGGCTGAACAGGAGTCTGAGATATTGGGGCAAACCCCGTAGACCAGACATAGGCCATTCTCATTGCTGTAGCTTGTTCCTGGTGCGTGAGGGCCAATACTCGCTAAAATAGATAAAGGACATTTAAAAAGGCATTTTTCTTTTTTAAATTTTTTGTATGTTTTTAAGTTATCAATATAATGGCACCATGGGCACGGTTACTGGCATGAGCCATGTGCATTGTGGAATGTACATGGGTGCACCCTAAGTGTGCTTTACATGTTTTGCAACTTTCGATAAATTATGCACATATAACATCAGGGGCGTAACTAGGAATCAAAGTTCCCTGGTGTAAGAATTCAAATAAACCCCCACCCCTTCCTTATAGCCCCTCTTTGTTCCACCTAAGCAATACTCCTGAGTGGGATGTGTGTGGTGGTTGAGTGTGATTCTGTGTGGGGCTTGGTTAAGTGTGATTGTGTTGGTTGGCTGAGTGTGATTGTACATGTGGTTTGGCTGCGCGTGAGTGTGAAATAATTGGTCCTGCTTTGGGTCACTAACATGCTGGCTTCACTGCGAGCACATAGGCGTCAGTGCATCCTATAATCTCCCAGCATGGGCCTGGCCTGCTGGAGGAGAAACACAGTGACAGGGAGCAAGAAGTCCACCTGTCACTCAATCTATGGCATTAGCCCCCATGTGCTATTTGCACACAGGTCTAATGTTGAGAATTTCATTGACAGGTAGAGGAGAAACCATATTTTTAAAGAGCGTTACATTACAATCTATATATTTGCAAGCATTTCTTCTAGCACAATGTAAAAATGGAATGGAATGCTCTTTAAAGATACATATAGGCACTCAGACCACCACCTCAGCTCATTGAAGTGGTCTAGGTGCAGTGCCCCAGTCAGCTTAACTCTGCAATTGTCATTATTAATAAACTGCAATAATTAACTCTGAGGGTTAACTCCACCTCTAGTGGCTGTCTACCAGATAGCCACTAGAGGCGCTTCCCAGTCATTAGACAACTTTTGGTCTCCTAACAGACGCTGGGTGTTCGCACGCTTTGCATGAGGACATCCAGTTTCAACTAAAACCCCACAGGAAAGCACTGATTGAATGCTTTCGTTTGGGGTAGTCCTAATGCAAGCATGGCACTCACCATGCGTGTTCATTAGCTCACTTAAGGGAGGAGGAGCGGAGGTGGACTCTGGTAAGTGACAGAAGGGGTTTTAACCCTTTCTGCGCTGCGAGGAGGAAGAGGGGCACTATGGGGTCACACTTGCAACCTTAGCGACCCCTGTTCTGCCACTGGATAACATGTAGAAAGAAGCTGAAAAACCTGGGGGAAAAATGAGTTTAAATTTGTTACGATCACACTCCTTGACATCATTATAAACTCTGGCTAACTGCTAGCAGTCAAGGCAACCAGAACTGCATTACCTGAGTTCTCAAGCATTCACTGAGAAGACTAAAGAGATCCCTATAGGAAAGGCTGATACCAACAGCTGGTAGATAATTGCAGCTAAAAATACCAACAGGTCTGCATAATCTGTGGTCTGCTCATGTCTACATCCATTAATACCAACCATCACTTACTATTTCATATTTTGCAAATTGGACATGCTCCAATAACAAGGCTAATTTGCCAATTCATTGCTGAAACGTTGCTGGATGGATTGGACACATTTCAGCACCGACAAGCCGAGTGAAGAGTTTATTCATTTCTATTACATTTGATAGGGCTTGAGCCAGAACCGTAAAATAAAGTGATCGCCTTCCTTCAGATGACAATATTACTGATATAGCTATAAAAAGGATAGAGTCATTGCCAGATCAGCTCTTCCAGGACTATATAAAATGTGGTGATGTTGCCTGATCACCTCCACCGGGATGCTACAAAAGGTAGTTTGTGGTTATAGTGTCCTGGTGAAGTTGCTATGGCAATCTTACAATGAGAGCCATAAAGTTCTCTAATGCACTAACCCAGGGATAGGCAACCTTCGCCACTCCAGATGTTGTGGACTACATCCCCCATAATGCTGGCAAAGCATCATGGGAGGTGTAGTCCAAAACATCTGGAGTGCCAAAGGTTGCATATGCCTGCACTAACCTGTGATTTAACAGGAGTGCAGTGCAACATTCTTACACTAGAGGGGGTATAATATCCAATTGTGTTGTGTTGCGTTGAATTGACATGTGTACCACCTCTACCATTTTGACCTGAATATTTCAAGTAGTTGTGTGCCAGCTCACAACTCATTGTTTAGTAAATAATACGATGTATGCGTGCTCTTTTATAAATACATAAATATGTCTGATTAGGCTTACCGTAAATTAAGTATCCACATGTGATCGCAACATTCAACTTCACTTGAAAAGGATCTCCCCTAGAATGAGAACCAGTCTATTAAAGAACAACCAAGTACACATAACAGCATTATTTTAATTCATTTACATGATCACACATTCTACGGAATGTAAAATGGCAAATAATATTCATTACAACATTTAATGGAACAGAGAGATAGAAGAGTGGGGTTGTTATGTTGTGTTCAACACTACAGCATTCTGTGAGTTGTATCAACTCTGGGAAAATTTGCTTTTAATGTGAATTCACCCAAAGAACTAATCGAGTTGTATGCTCAGTTAATTTGCTCAAAATGGGAAAAAAAATGACTTTAGTAGGGTCTCATGTGGGGTTAAGTATTTTAGGAAAGCTTGTGATGATAGGAATCATGGGGAATGTAAGATAATTTGCATTAAATGCCATGGCATGCCTTTTCAGGAGGTAGTTCTGAAATGAGTCAAACTATAGAAAATTGAATACCATAGATAAAATAAATACTAACGCTCAAAAATATGGTTATGTAAAGCGACGGACCTTTTATAGAGAGATGAAAAGGGAACAATTTATGCGAAACATTAAAAGTGGTTAACCTGTTCAATCCAGAGGATTTTTTTATATAAGTTGAAAAAGCTGCAAGTCATTTTCTTCCTTTTAAACAGCGTGAATTGTTTGGGAGGGACAAGAGGAATCACACTTCACATGACAAAGGACTTTATTATATTACACACAAGGGAGCTTTTTGTACAGCATTAAACACTGGGCTATGGGGGAGGTCAGAACAGGAATAGCAGAGTATGCAGCAGGACACATAAGTAGTAGTAGTTTGTGTATGCAGACAGTACAGGAACAGCAGAGTCAGGCACAGAATGGAGATGTATTGACAGAGCTGTATATGGTGGCACAGGAACAGCAGAGTCAGATACAATATAAAGATGTAGTGACAACCCTATATGCAGTCAGTACAGGGATAGCAGTGAATAATGTAAAAAGATACAGACCCAATGATGGTACTATATGTATTTAGACAGTACCGGAATAGCAGAGACTGATGTAGTGCCCAAGTTGAGGATGTTTTTGTACATTATCTATATATAAAAAAAATAAAATAGTGGGTTTAACTCCAGCCTGGTGTGTCCCTTAAAGGATTGAAGACTGGATGCAGGGCTAGGCAACCTTCGTCTCTCTGTGTCTTGCGGACTAGATCTCCCATTATGCTTTGCCATCTTAATGGCTGCAAGAGAATCATGGGAGATGTAGTCCACAAACATCTGGAGTGCTGATGGCTGCCTACAACTGGGCTAGAGGAAAGTCTCATTGGGTGAGGATGTCAATATAAAGGGAAAATATCCATCAAGACAGAATATGCTTGTTGTGTAAGTTTATTAGAACTAATTGTTGTATGGAGAGACAGGGGGGAGGGGGACAGGCACATGAACAAAGACTGCATGTGTTTGAACCAAAAGGCACTCCATCAACAGCTCAATAAACAACCGAACACACACCACAATTATACACAGGAATACTCCACGCTGGGGCTGACTTACATTATTAATGTATTTTATATTTTATTTATTTTTTTTAAATGCAAAATTAGATTAACAATGTTAGAAAATTGATACTCGCTTTCCGCACTTTGCTGCAAATGTGTAGGAGATTCTGCTTGGTGGTCTGGGCTGAGCTCACTGCAGATGCTGCAAAATCCTGTGAATTTTAACCAAATACAGGAAATTCAAAGAGGATTTTTTTCCCTCTCTTTTATTTATTTAATTAATTAAAAAACTGGTTTCATTTTCAGCCTCGATTGTCCCTTTAGATTACAACGTATACAATAAAGTATTTATTATATATTTTAAAGGGACACACACTGTACATCAATGCAGGTCATTGTAGTATTTATGATACTTTCCCACTGTTTTCTGGAGCTCTTTGAGAAAGACTAAGCTCTCCCTTCCACCCCCACTCGGACTTCTCTACAGATGCAGACATAATATGGAATTACCATTCTGCGTTCTCTATGCAAAGTCACCCAACCTTGGATGGCAGTGATAGGCTGAGAGTGCCAGACTACGCTGCCCCAACAATCTTAAAAGGACCACTTAACCCCTTAAGGACCAAACTTCTGGAATAAAAGGGAATCATGACATGTCACACATGTCATGTGTCCTTAAGGGGTTAAAGGGACACTATAGTCACCTGAACAACTTTAGCTTAATGAAGCAGTTTTGGTGTATAGAACATGCCCCTGCAGCCTCACTGCTCAATCCTCTGCCATTTAGGAGTTAAATCCCTTTGTTTATGAACCCTAGTCACACCTCCCTGCATGTGACTTGCACAGCCTTCCATAAACACTTCCTGTAAAGAGAGCCCTATTTAGGCTTTCTTTATTGCAAGTTCTGTTTAATTAAGATTTTCTTATCCCCTGCTATGTTAATAGCTTGCTAGACCCTGCAAGAGCCTCCTGTATGTGATTAAAGTTCAATTTAGAGATTGAGATACAATTATTTAAGGAAATTACATCTGTTTGAAAGTGAAACCAGTTTTTTTTTTCATGCAGGCTCTGTCAATCATAGCCAGGGGAGGTGTGGCTAGGGCTGCATAAACAGAAACAAAGTGATTTAACTCCTAAATGACAGTGAATTGAGCAGTGAAATTGCAGGGGAATGCTCTATACTCTAAAACTGCTTTATTTAGCTAAAGTAATTTAGGTGACTATAGTGTTCCTTTAGGTGACCCAGACCAATTCAGCTCAATGCAGTGTTCTGGGTGCAGTGTTCCTCTTAGTTCTGAAATTGAACACGTTTCCGTCTAGTAGATATTGAAATGTTTTCAGTACAGGGCTAAACACAGGTCTTTTATCGGCAGACATCATCAAATGCTGCTCATATGTTGGGCTTTCCTTGCATGTGCTTCTCATCCATAATGATTATCTATGAAAATCATTTGATTGGTTAAGAGGTACGAGAAGAGTCAGCAGACCAAATGATGACGCAAGAGGAGGAGCTGTAACTGCAAGGCCTGTAAAACCCTTTATTTGCAATATTGTTATTAAATTTAGGGGGCCCCTCGAATCTAAATAGGGACCATAACCTATAGAGTTTGGTTAGGCACTAGAACAATATTTCAAGCCTTATCAAGACAATGTTGTTTAGGAGAAATGCTTTGGCTACTTGGACTCCCTCCAAACAGGAAAGACATACTAAACACAAAATACAATAAAAACCCACTATATGTGAAAATATGTCTTGTATTAGAATTCTAACATGCAATCATAATAGATTAGAAACTTTGTATCCTGAGAACATTTCTGTATTGAATAGAATCTGAGCGTAAATAGATTCTTTAAGAGCATCAAAACCGGAATCCGTGATGTACAGCCTCAAATGGCTCCATATACAAAAATAAATAAATAAAATATATTAATGGCAATCTAATTGTGGCATTGTGGCATCTATTCTTTCAAATAAGGCATAATTCATGCCTTGCCGTGAATGAACGTGCCTGAGACTATGAACGATATATCCCTTAAAACCTGGTTCTGCCGGAATCATGGACCAATGCCATAATATTATGTAAATATAAAACCTTACGGAAGTGGATACTGTTGACAGTGTTATTAGAGTTCGAGTTTGTGAGACAATCATTGGAATTACTTGGGAGTGAAGTCCTGATTAATTAGTACATTGGTCAATCTGGCCTAAATAATTGAATATATATAAAAAAAAAAAATGAAAGAATTTGCTGTCTCCTTAAACCCACTATTAATCCTTTGTGTATCCACCACGTAACTTTCACTGGGATCGACTGAGCGTAAAAGATCAGCCACGGGAATGGTATGAGATTGGCTTTTCATGCTATATTTAATGTTTTATAGCCCAGAGTTATTAAGAGGCCTGGCCAAGGATTGGGGCCCAAATGCAGCCCTGTATCATTATGCAATCTAGTTGAGAAATATAAAGAAACACTTCAAACAAGTACTTGTTGAAGTACTTTATGTTTGAAAAGTGTCCTTTTTTCCCCCCTTTTTACAAAAAGTGCAGATTTCAATAGAAATTGTCATTTTTATAAATTAGCCTGGTTACAACTCCCCTGGCTGACAATCAGACAGTCGGTCCTGTTACTTCCTGGTTTGGTTAGCTCGGTGTAGCTCAACTCATGAGGCAGCAATTGTCCAAATCACCTGCCTTGCAAAGGCATTGGGAAGTCTGTGATTGGACAGACACAGAAAGACTGGGCGGGGTTAGAAGGGGAGGGCTTGCAAAGGCTGCAGATAAGAGATCTACAGCTTTTAACTGTATTTTTAGATATACCTTAAATGAAAAAGTGCATAAATATATGCATGCATGTTTTCTTTTGAAAATTTAGATATTTTTTAATTATTTGGGCAATGAAGTGTAACTATTTGCATTAACTAGATCACATTGCAGATCCGTGACAGAGTGTGACCCTAACCAAACTGCATTCAAGACTTTCTTTTTATTCCTCCGTGGAAGTGCTTGGAGTATACAGGTTGTCCCCTCCTCCCAGCACATGAAGGAAGCTGTGTGAAAATGACCGTTCACACCTGAATAGCCCACTCCCCACCAGCAAGCCATAACCCTGCTGGAAAAAGATAGGCTAAAAACCAACATGTATTTCAGTATTTGTGGCTGAATTCATGCATCTGAGTACATGTGTGTGTCTGTCAGTGTGTGATCTGGTTTTGTGTATGCATTGTGTTTATATTTTTTTCCCAGTGTGTGCATCTGCCTGGCAGCATTTATCTGTGAGAGTGTGTGTCTGGCAGTGAGTGTCGTTATCTGTGTCTGTTTCTGTCTGGCAATGTATGTCTGCATGTGACAGTGTGCACGTGTCAGGGAGTATGTATCGGTGAGTATCTAAGAATGCATATCTGTCTGCGTATGTCTGTGAGAATGTATCTCTGTGTTTGGGAACGTGTGGATGGGGGTAACGGTCTGATAGTCATTTTGTAAGGGGCCCCAAACTTCTCTTGGCAGCACTGTCCCTGTGCTTGCAGGACTGGAATTTGTCTAGTGTGTAGGGAAGATCCTTCGCTAACTACAGAACAATCCCGAGCATGCCCCCACCTCAAAATTGGTTCTAGTGGTTTGTAGCAGCGTAGAGACGCAAACCACAGGATGGTTCCAACAGATGTCACCTGTCACCGGTCTCTCTTATACAGAGAACAGGAATAGAGCAGCTCTGATTGAACCATTAAATGTGTAAGCAATGATAAGCAGGGAATACAAATAGAACTCATCTGGTAAAGCACTATATATATGTACAGGGAATCAGGGTAGTAAGAGCAGAGTGTTGCAGTATGGGTAGTAAGAGGTCCTCTGATAAAGCACTACGTGTACTGTTGTAACTATATTTATTTTGGGACTATAGGTTCCCCTCTATCATTGAGACAACTGTCCATCCCCCTTTGCTGAAAAAAAAAATTAAATAGAGCAAATATGCAGCTCATCTTCAGAGCCGAGACTCCTCTGCTGCAGCTGACCACTCCACCTCCTAAGATATCAGCGTGGCTTCTGGCATCTTGTATGATCTCTACCAATCCAGGGTGTCTTACAGAGAAGCATTGAATTGGAGATTTGCATGCGCAGCCAAACGCCCCACTCCTGCAGTCAAAGGCTGCTATGATTACAGGATCGAGTTTCTCTTGGCTCTGGAGGAGGAAGTGCCTCTAAGGGCTGTCAGGAACTGCAAAGCTTTATATTGCAGGATTAAAACTACAGAGCTACTGCACTCCGACTGCTTCATTGAGATAAACTGGTCTGAGTGACTTTAGTGGTCCTTAAAGGGACACTATAGGCACCCAAACCACTTCAGCTCATTGAAGTGGTCTGGGTGCTGTGTCCCTATTGCACTTTCAGAGAAATTGCAATGTTTACATTGCAGCACTAAGTCTGCCTACAATGGCTGTCACTAGAGGGCTTCCTGAATCGGACCTTTGTTGTGGTATCTGGACGTCCTCATGCTCTGCGTCAACTTCTAACCCATAGAAAATCATTGATTCAATGCTTTCTTATGGGAAGGTATAATGCGATTCAATGCTTTCCTATGGGGAGGTATAATGCATGCGCTGCATTTCCCATGCATGCGCATTAGCCCCCACTTGTCGCAGATTGTATTTATGCCACTATAGTATCTCTCTAAGCCAGGCTTCCCCAAACTGCGGCCCTTCAGATGTTGCTGAACTACAACTCCCATGATTCTCAGGCTACCTATTTCATTCATGGAATCATGGGATTTGTAGTTCAGCAACATCTGGAGGGCCGGAGTTTGGGGAAGCTGGCTCTATAGGAAAAGCAGTTAGAGATTATGTAAAAATGTAAATGTATTTTAGAACATACAGAAATATCTGTGTAAGCTGTAAAGAGAGATGACAGTGTAGTGATCTAGCTGTGTGTGCAGTACAGAATAGAGAAGTAAATGTGTATATATTAGACACAGAAGGAGTAGGCATTATTTTATCTCAGATATGGCTATAATTGTAGCTGTACAAGTCAGCAGAATAGAAAATAACTCAATTACAAACAGTGTCGTAGTGAGAAAGTAATGTAGGATTTAAATACTCACCATATCGGATCAGAGTTCACAGCATCATCATAGGCCAAGATGTACAGGCAGAATGACCCCACAACGAATGCATGGACCGTGGAAACACACCTGCAACATAACAGACACGTCATAAAGGCCACAACTCCTAAAGTCACTGTAATAAGATGTTACAGGGCAATAAGGCACTCAGGAGCCTGGTTACTGTAATAAGACGTTACAGGGTAATAAAGCGCTCAGGAGCCGGGTTACTGTAATAAGATGTTACAGGGTAATAAGGCACTCAGGAGCCGGGTTACTGTAATAAGATGTTACAGGGTAATAAGGCACTCAGGAGCCGGGTTACTGTAATAAGATGTTACAGGGTAATAAGGCACTCAGGAGCCGGGTTACTGTAATAAGATGTTACAGGGTAATAAGGCGCTCAGGAGCCGGGTTACTGTAATAAGATGTTACAGGGTAATAAGGCGCTCAGGAGCCGGGTTACTGTAATAAGATGTTACAGGGTAATAAGGCACTCAGGAAACAATAAGGCAGACATTACCTGGAGTCCCACTCACACTGCTTTGCCTTGCTGAGCTGTGGGTAGGTTGTGGATAACATGGCTGAGATTTGGGGGCTAATCACAGAGAAGAAGATTTGAAATCCAGTAAAACTACAGGCTGCCACAATATAAATGAACAACAAGCTGTCCTCCATCTTTAATGCGTGCATGAGACACCTATATCTAAAACAGAGTTTGTATCACAAGTCTTCCTGCTGCTATAATTCGTTAAATGATCTGCACACCAGTTGCTGGGGAAAAAAGTGTACTGCTTCCTAGGCCACGAGGAGGTGATGAGAAAGATGCAAAGCTCTGCAGGTCTATGAGTAATAATGAGGCTTTATGGGATGACGAAGAAGGTCTCTGGTTAGTGATATTCACTTTCAGGTGCAATATTCTGTAGTTCTAGATTCTAAAGAAAGTTGAAGGAATGTTCCGTGGGGTTCAGAATGTGGAAATCGTGCAATGCTCTGCAAGTTTGCAAGATACTGAAGTAAAGGAGTGACGCTGCAGTACTGCACCTTGCTGGAGGAATAGTCTGCTGTGTGGACGATGGTAATGGAGGCAGCAGTCTGTAGTAATTATTGCAGTGCTGAGAGACGCTGAGCAGTTACTGTGAGTTTAGACAGCGATGGGTAACACTGTGCAGGACTCCATCTGGACAATAGTGCCACACTTTACACAATGTGAATTAATGCAGCATCTACGGCCTGTAAAAAGGAGACATCAGGAGTTAATAAACTGTAACAGAATCCTGTCTGAAGAGCTTACGCTCAAATATACAGTAGACATTGTTTGTACGCATTGCTTGTAAGAACAGGGATATACAATAACCTAAGAGGGTGAATTCTCTACTTACCAATCCTCAAGGCAGGCAATCGGTCCAGAATCTGGGCATTTCTCAGTTCTGATCTGGATGCCTCATGTGCTCTATAGGGTGGGTGGTCATATGCTATGTGCATTGTGTCAGAATTTTAATTCACACACTGAGCTACACTACCCAATCCCCCACATTCTTACACTTCATCATACCCTTATCCTCAGTATATCGTCGTAATTTATCCTTCTACGATATTCATTTGTTCCCCATTAGCCCCACTTTGCTTCACTTACCATGTCTCCTGCATTAGATTACACCTCTAAGTTGTCTTTTTCCATAACCCACCCATTTCACCATAGCTAACATGCTCTCCATAGTATTTTGATTTCCCTATTCTCAGCTCAGTTGGAGTCTCACTTAAGAAGTCTTCACTGGTTAGACTCCAAGCCTCAAAGATGCCGAGGCAACAGATGTTACCGAAGGGACAAAGAGTTGGTGCCACATCCTACAACCCACTGCTCTTCTCATCTTCACACGTGTTCCCTTATTGGCATTATAAAGGTCACAAATGTTTACACTTTGGTTTGATGTTACTCGGATGTTTGCCTTAAATATATTTTACTGTGAGCACACAAGCCAAGTGCTGGCGTTAATACGGTGTAGTCTGCAAGTACTTTTATTTGAGTTTTATTGTTTGGCACTGTATGCCATCCAGCCCAGTGTACGACTAAAACGAGATTATCAGCTTTAAAAAGAACTTATGATCATCTATAAACTGTGAACTATGCAGAAAATGTAGCCCTTCCAGGAGAACAAAATACTTAAACTTAAAAATGTGGTCATACTTTGTACTCGGTTGCAGATCTTGTGAATTTCGGTGACTTGAATATTCCGCAATCAAGTGACCTTCACAAAGGCTGGGTATTGATCTGCTCTCCAGCTAGGCTGAATATTGCACATTAGTCTTTGGTCGAGAAGCAGAGGATGCATGTTGGATAATTAACCAGGCCACTCAAGAACGTTCCACATTGCAGGTTCTGGCCCTGAAGGCTCGTTATCTGCTTTAGTAGTGTGTTTAGGCCTACATTCCTGCCGAAAGGTGAAGTGGATTCTGAAGAGTTTCCAGAAATTTGAATTATTTCAGCAAACTCAAGAATTCGTATCACTGCCGTCATAACGGGCACATCATTAACAAAGTCATTTCAGACAATTCCAGTGGCAGTCTAAACACTTCCTCCACCATGTCCTACTGATGAGATTGTATGCTTGGAATAATGTACTATCCCTTTAACTTCCTACACTTTTCTCTTTTAGGTACTCACGCGCAGGATAATCTTCACATTACGCGCCATAAGAATTTTTTTTCGTGAATTTTCCCAGAAGTCGGTCCATTAACAAACTCTTTTTCCATCCATACCTGAAGGGATCCATAGTGACCTGTATTGAAGGACTGAAAACCGATATGTATATTCGGTTCTAATAAAAAATTATTTTTTAAAAAACCCTATGTATTAAAAAAAGCTTTATTCTACTGGTGAACAGAGCAACGACAACAATACAACAGTCACTGTTTTAGTTCATACAGATGCACTGTGTGAATTATACAGTAAACAAGGGAGATTACCAGGCAGATACCTAGTAGGACAAAACATTGCAGATTTGATATATTAGTATATTGATTGAATACAATGTCCTGTTTATATAAGGTAGGAATTGCAAAGTCTATTACAACATACACTGACTGCGAGAATGACAGGCTGCAGCCGTGCAGCGTAAAGCACCGTTGCGTAGCATTGCTCTATCGTACACTCTAATTGATAGCATGTGTGATAGGTTTTACTGGATGGTAACTATATACCACATGGCTGAACTTTGAGCTCTCAGGTCATTAATATTTGATCCACCTTTTTCTTCTGACCTCTGTACGGAAATAAATACTATTGGCCTTGGCACACAGATTAAAATATTACCACTGCAACATATTATTTCAAGGCTAATTATCAATTCCCATGTTTTTTTTTATATTATATTTACTTATTCCTATTTATTTTTTTTTAACAAATATTTGTTTGTGGAATGTGATTTTTTTTTACCTAAATGTAGAAATCCACACCTCTATATCTTGAGCTTGAGTACCTCCATCTTAGCTCCCTGTCAATCATTGTTATAAAAATAGACTGAAAGGGACACCATCGTCACCCAGACCACTACATCTCAGTGATGTGGTCTAGGTGCAGTGTTCCAGTCCTACTTAGTCCTGCAATGTAAATCATTGTAATTGTTGAGAAACTGCAATAATTACATTGTAGGACGAAGACTACCTCTTATGGTTGTCAATCAGACACCCACTAGAAGCGCTTCCTGGTTGCTAATGGACTTTTAATTATCTAACGGACGTCCTCACGTTTTGCATGAGGACATCAAGCGTCAGTAAAATTCCTGTAGGAAAGCTCTCTATGCATGCCCCTTAGCCCCCCCTCGTCATATAATATGCTATAAATTTCAAAGAAAATGGAGCATATTAGAAAAAGAAGTTTGTAATATAGATGATTTTATCCACGGGTGTAAATTTCAGAGAAGAGAAGTTCACCTGTCAGGTGTTCTACAGTTGTGAATCTTATTACATCCACACGGCTCCTGAGTGCCTTATTACCCTGTAATATCTTACGTCTTATTACAGTAACCTGGCTCCTGAATGCCTTATTACCTCGTAACATCTTATTACAGTAAACCGGCTCATGAGTGCTTTATTACCCTGTAACTTCCTGAGTACCTTATTACCCTATAATATCTTATTACAGTAACCTGGCTCCTGAGTGCCTTATTACCCTGTAGCATCTTATTACAGTAACCCGGCTCCTGAGTGCCTTATTACCCTGTAACATCTTATTACAGTAACCTGGCTCCTGAGTGCCTTATTACCCTGTAACATCTTATTACAGTAACTCGGCTCCTGAACGCCTTATTACCCTGTAACATCTTATTACAGTAACCTGGCTCCTGAGTGCCTTATTACCCTGTAACATCTTATTACAGTAACTCGGCTCCTGAACGCCTTATTACCCTGTAACATCTTATTACAGTAACCCGGCTCCTGAGCGCCTTATTAACCTGTAACATCTCATTACAGTAACCCGGCTCCTGAGTGCCTTATTACACTGTAACATTTTATTACAGTAAACCGGCTCCAGAGTGCCTTATTACCCTGTAACATTTTATTTCAGTAACCCGGCTTGTGAGTGCCTTATTACCGTGTTATATCTTTTTCAGTAACCCGGCTCCTGAGTGTCTTATTACCCTGTAACATCTTATTACAGTAACCCAACTCCTGAGTGCCTTATTACCCTGTAACATCTTATTACAGTAACCCTGAGTGTCTTATTGCCCCCAGTAACAGTTTTTTGCTTAATTAAACTAACTTTTGAAACTGTTGCTGCACATTTAATAAACGTCAGATGTTTCTGTCTATATATTATTCAGTAACAGATACAGTAAATTACCCAGTAACTGTGTGCATGTGTTAGTCTATCTGCACACATAGATAATCGTGTAAACAGACCTGCTCTTACAAGATAGTGAGTGTCACTCAGTGTACAGAAAGTAACCCCTTGCTATAAGCTGTAGATTTTAGCCTGTGTACACGCTGCAGCCTCCATTATAACTGTGATCCCCACACTTTGTATACAGTGTAACAGATGGGAGCCCAGCTGATCAGATACATTACTTCTACATATTGCAATGCTGTGGGGGGAGTCATAGGGGGTAGGAAGCTGTAATCTTACCCCAGGCAGTTCTGTGTTTCCCCAGAGAGGCAGGCTGGGTACAAACCCCATACCCTGCTGTCTGTAGCCTCCCCAGCACAGGGGCAGATAGAGCTGCCCTGACCCTGCACTCTGGGATCAAGAAACACGTCAACAGTCCTGGCCCCACCCCCACCTGGAGTCAATCCTTCCCACCAAGTGTAAAAAGAACTCTGGAGAGTGATACAGTATCACTCCTCTCTGCTGGGGACACGCCTCCTCCTCTCATTAGCCACGCCCCCTGTGCTCTTTCCCAACCCTTACATAAGGGAAAAATTGATCAGATCTGATGAGAAAATAAATCATTTATTGCTGGTCTCAGGGGTTGTGAAAAAAAACTATTTTGTCATTTTTAGCGGCAGGTCATGTTTCAGAATAGTTTAGATATATATAGTTATATTTAAAGAATTAAGGCTTTAGAAAATCAGATGCATGTATAATTTTATTTTAGTTGATTTCATGCCCATATTTTGATTATCACAGGGCCTGGGGGGGAATGGTGGAGAGGAAAGGATATGAGAGTTTTGGTCAGTCCTCTAGTTGGTGTGTTATTGCTGTAGATTGGCACTGGAGTGTCCAAAACAAGGCAAAACACTTTAAAATGCTCTCTGAAAAACCTCTTGTTATATTTTCTTATATTTCTACATTCTGATTCCTAAACTGTGTTATTCCTGTGAAACTGTGTGATATGCTCATAGGAATGTCACATTGCTATAGGTTTAAGTCACTAAACTTGGAATTGTGAATTGGCAAGGAAGTTGCAAATTAGAAGCCAAAATAATACTCAGCTGCTATTTTGTCCTTTAGTGAGCAGTTATTTTGTTGGTTTTAATGAGTATTGTATTTAAGGAAACTGATACACAAAGTGTAGTTTTAAATCACTCAGTGGTGAGTTTTATTGCAGTAAAGCTCTGTGATGTGGAGCTCTGTGATACACAGTGGTTGATTTTTTTTGCAATGGAGCTCTGATACACTATACATTACTGACTACTAGGAGAATTATTGACATGGTGCATATCTGTGAGGGTTTTTTTTGTTTTTGAGGTGGAGCTCTGTGGTACACAACATATTAAAGTTAATTCTATTGCAGTGGAGCTCTGTTATACACTCATAGACACCCCACATTACTGTGCATCTAATATCTTAATACCAATATTCAGAGGGAGAAGATTGTGGCCCTGACTTACCTTCCAATATTTTGACATGCAAAACCGGTTCAGTGACTAGATTGCCTTAAATAAATCTAATTACAATATAAAACATGTCATTGTCATTCACAGTAGGACCAAATTATTTTATTAATAGTCACTAATGCTTAAATAAGACACTCTATAATTTTATGTTTGTGGAGCTCTGTGATACTCATAACACAACATGTGTTTTAGCACTGTAGAGCATTTTAAATAAAAAGAAACAGTTTAAGCAGCCAACGTAGAAATGTAATATAATGTAATATAATCAGAATAACTGCCCAGCACTGCTCAAGGTCCTCAAATATGCAGTGAAATCTGTGAATAAAATGAGCAAGCCTGCATTTAGCCTTGAAACATGGCAACTGTAAAAATCCGGCTATTGTTTAATAATTGTATGGACATTGTACACTCAGTGGCAAAGAAATACTTCGCACTTTTCATTCTAGTAAATAGTACTTTGTTGTAGGTGCCATGTTTGCCAGCAAGAGCACATATTACATATTTATTTATATATTTGTTAGTCCAATAAAAAAGGGATTACAAGATATAAATTCTGTTTTTTTTACATATATATATATATATATAAAAATATAAATAAAAGTCCCGGAATGTGACAGTGGCCATTGATGACATACTGGCCTTGATTGCCCTTATGCTCCCTTTGAGCAACGCGCTCATCATGATGAGTCACACACGTTCAAGATTCTATCTGAATAAAGTCATCCTAAGCAGACTGGATTCATTGCAAAATAACGTCAGGGTGCTGTAATTAACTGGGCCAGTTATCATGAACATTCCATTGGTTTCCGTGGTGACTGCTACATGTCTCTCCCTAAATCTGTATCCGCATGTCCAATCCTCGCGCCATTTTTTCTTACCTCATATACATACCTCCCAAACTTTAAAGGGTTCTCTTGTTTTTAAGTGAGGCTGGAATTGGTCAGAGAGTGGGGCTGATCTGGAACATATTGCTTGATGTCATGAATAATGGTAGTTTATTTTTTTATAACTAAACAAAGTAATTTATCATAAAACCATTTTTTACACCAACTTATTGCACAAACGGAAACAAAAGCTTACTAAACCTCTGCTTTTTGCTTTATTTTTGCCAGATTTGCTGCATTTTATGAAAGACAAAGTAGAAAACAGAGTCTGTTCCTCCTGACAATGGCTGCTTGGGAGAGGAGGGGGTCTTGGCCATAACGGGCCATGCTAGCCTAGTGTTTATGAGTGCCAGATAATGAATGGTAGAGAATTCTGGGAAATGTAGTCCAATGACAGCTGGAAGTGACATTTTAAAACAAAAAAAATGCTAATATGATTAATCTCAATTGAATGTTTTACATGAATTAGGCAGATAGAGGCAAAACATATCTTGCACCAATATTAGCATATTATTTTAAATAAAGCTTTTCAAGTAATATAATATGCAGTGAACTAATTCTAAAGGCTCGCTGACTTCACTAGTCATGGGGCAGGCAACCTTTGGCAGATATTGTGGACTACATTTCCCTTAATGCTATTACAGCCATGAAGCTGGCAAAGCTTCAAGGAACAGTATAGTGTCAGTAATGCAAATATGTGTTTCTAACGCTATAGTTTGTATAGGTCCCTGGCCCTCAGCAGCAGGGAGAAACAAAAGTAGTTTGAAGTACCTTTTTCTTCTTTGTGGGTCTACACAGCTGGCCTTGCCTCCATGGCTGAAATCAAGATTGATGATTTCAGCCAATCCAATGTTTTCCCCTAGGAAAGAATTGGGAGGTTAGTGCACATGCGCAGACCATCCGATAGAGATAACAGAATTTAACTTTTTTATTTCGGTCAAAACTCTGAAATGATAGGCAATGTTTTCACTTGCAGGGTATAAAGGGGGGAACGGGGCAATGTTGCTTCCAGACTACTTCAAGATGACGTGATCTCTGTGCCTATAGTGGATATGTATTCCACATATCTAGAATGCTGAAGGTTGGCTACCCCTTCATTAGTCCATTCTGTGTTGTTATTACACACTGTCCATTGTGTATGGTGTTATGCTCTGGCGTGGAGACACTGAAAGCCCTATTTAATCTCACTTTCATCCGACAACGTCACATCAAGGGGAATCGCTAGAATAACCAAGTATATGATCTAAAAACTAAAAGTAAATCCTTACATCAATGAATATCAGGAAGGGAGTTTCACAGTAAATGCCCAGACAGGTAGGTAAACAAATCAAAGTCTATAGGTTATTCACCCAGACTGCTGTAGGCAGGTAAAGAGCTAAGATTAAACTTTAATCTACCATGAGTTCTGGAGACACTTAAATCCCTCAAATATCAACATGTTTCAGGAAGGGAAGAAAGGATTTTTACAGGTAACACTACTCTGCCATGGCGTAAAGTACATGTCATTTCACCTTCAGTGTGAAACATGTCTATCTTAGCTATGCTTGTCACTGCCAGATACAGAATGTAAAACTTAAACGTAGAAAGGGCAACACATGAAAAGTGATTCCCAGCTGGTTGTAGAACTAACATGCTTTACAAAGGAAATCATGTGATTAATCATTGAGGAATCAAGCAGGATATAAATGTGACATGCCTCCCATTAACATGATGGCATTCCATGTGTCAGGAGAATGTGGTGGTAACCATGGGGACAATTCTAGTTTGGAATTGTCTTAGGGAATTGAATAGGAAGTGGGCGTGCTTGGTTCTTTAGCTCTCTTTATATGTGCCAGTGTGGCTCATAAAGTCTTTGGTTTTGGGCCTGCTCCTGTAGGAAACCATTTCAATGCATCTCACATAAGGTATATGTTGATAAAAGTAAACTCAGGTTCTGAGAAAGCCATGAGGCTAATTACTGTTCAACTGGCTTCCATGGGGTCCAGTGTGCTGGTTGAAGCTATTGGAAGTCAGAAGCTCTCCCAGTCCGCACTACCCCCTTCTCGGCAGTCTCCTCGTGAGCGCTTGGTGTTTTCTGGGAGGAAGTCCCATTACTGCTATTATTAAGGCCCAGTTAAAGGACTGCAGAGAGCGCGACTGGACCCTTGAAGACACATGCCCATCTGGTAGCCCTAGGTGCATGGGCTCCTTTAGTGTGGAGCACATCGCCTGCACCGGAGGTACTTCCATTAAGGGCTGTCACTCAGACAGCCAAGAAGGTTTTCTTCCACTTCCGTTCGGATGTGGGATTTGCGATGGCCTAACTGCCTAAATCCCCTTTTCAATGAGTTATACTACAGCTCCTTGAGACGCATAGGAGAGCTCCTGTACAGACTTCTCAATGAGAATCCTCTGATTGGTGCATTCCTCAGCACTGACTAAAAGTTTGTGTCATGAACAGAGGGGAGGGCTTACAAAGGCTACAGACAGCAGATTAGCAGCTGTTTTTTATATATTCTCTCCCCAACCATCCCAAACAACAAATACATGCATGTTTTCTTTGGTGGTGCATCTACTAAACTGTATTTTTTTAAATCACCAGACCTTTTCACCTGGCTGAAAGAATTATATGATTTGCAGCCTACGACATCTTGAGTATCCAGTATATTCTAAATAAATATCACTAACAGCAGTGCTCTGGTGTATTGTGTTCCATTCCTGGAATTATGTCGTGAATGCATTGCCATTTCAACGCTGGCATTATGGTAAGGAAATGCGATATTTCAAAGCCAAACTCTCCACAAGATACCGTTCGGTATCCAGACTTACAGGTCCTGGGGCAATACCCTGACATGATAAACCAGTATAAAGAGATACAATCTGATGTGACAGGATACAGCTTGACTGGTATGTGTAACAGTCCTGTGACAATTGCTTATAACAGAGGTAGGCAACCTTTTAGCAGCACTGTGCCGATATAGGATTGCGATGTCCCTTAGCGTGCCGATCCTATTTTTTTTAAATTGAGGTGTGTATGCTGCCGTATTCTGCTTGTGTTATTTTTACTGTAATTGCTTTGTATCGTTGTATTTGTGAGTATATGAGCTATTATATTGTATACATATGAATGAGGGCTGTGTATGGGGGCTGCTTGTGGAATTGTGTGTGGATGGACATGTCACATTGTGTGTTTGGTAGTGTGTGTGGGCTGTTTGGGGTATTGCATGTGAGGGGCTGCATGTGCGATTGTGTGCATGTATATGGATTGTCAGTGGCAGGGCCGGACTGGGACAAAAATTCAGCCCGGGCAATTAAAGGCAGATCAGCCCACTATTAGGGGCGGGGCCAGAAAGGGGGCATGTCATGTCACCACCATTGACACGCACACCCCCTTCCCCCCCACCAAGTGAGTATGTTAATGTGATGCTCCTCCAGAGCATCCAGTGCTCCTGGCTAAAATAAATGCCATGAGGTTTTTCTAGGGGGCAAGGGGGGTTGAGTTTGTGCTGCGTTTGCTGGCGATTTGTCTCTGGTGTCCTCAATAGTGGGATACCAGAGATCAAAACAGGAACCGGACTGTTAAAGAGTGTTGTGCATGTGTGGGGATGTTCCTTGTGTTGTTGTATATGTTTGGACATTGCATGTGTGTAGAGCAATTGTGTGTGTGAAGGGGTCTGTTTGTGGCATACTGCATGTGGCTAGGGGCTGTAGTGTGTGTGTCTCTGGGTTGTAAAGTATGTGTGTGTGTGTGTGTATTTATATAGGGCCTGTGGAGTGTGTGCATGTAAGGAGCTGTACTGTGTGTTTGTGAGTGTATCTAGGGGCTCTAGTGTGTGTATGCATATAGGAGCTGTAGAGCACATGTGTATAGGGGGGATAATGTATGCATAGGTGGTGTAGTGTGTACAGGGGGTGCAGAATATGTATTTATAGGCGATATAAATTAGTGTGGGTGCATGCAGGGGGTGTAATGTGTGTGTTAATAGGGGTATAACGTATGAGAGTGCAGGGAGTGTAGTGTAGTGTAGGTTTATGGTGTATAGAGTGTGTTTAGTGTGTGTATGTGAGTGCCAGGGGACTAGTGTGTATATAAGGGGTATAGAGTGTGTGTAGTGTGTTTGTGTGTAAGTGCAGGAGGTGCAGTGTGGATATAGGGATATAGAGTGTGTATTGTGTGTTAATGCAGGGGCTGTAGTGTGTATGTAGGGGTATAGAGTGTATGCAGTGTTTTTGTGGGTTAGTGCAGGGGGTGTAGTGTGTCTGTGTGTTAGTGCAGGGGGTGCTGTGTGTGTAGTGTGTTAGTGCAGGGGAGCAGTATGTTTGTGTGTTAGTGCAGTGTGTGTTTGTGTGTTACTGCAGTGTGTGTGTGTGTTAGTGGTGCAGTGTGTGTTAGTGCAGTGTGTGTTTGTGTGTTAGTGCAGTGTGTGTGTGTGTGTTAGTGCAGTGTGTGTGTGTGTGTGTGTGTTAGTGGTGCAGTGTGTGTTAGTGCAGTGTGTTTGTGTGTTAGTGGTGGAGAGCAGAATGTTTGTGTGTTAGTGGTGCAATGTGTGTAGTGTGTGTTTGTGTGTTAGTGCAGTGTGTGTGTGTGTGTGTTAGTGGTGCAGTGTGTGTTAGTGCAGTCTGTGTTTGTGTGTTAGTGCAGTGTGTGTGTGTGTTAGTGCAGTGTGTGTTAGTGTGTTAGTGCAGTGTGTGTTTGTGTGTTAGTGGTGGGGAGCAGAATGTTTGTGTGTTAGTGGTGCAGTGTGTGTAGTGTGTTTGTGTGTGTATATGGCCTTAAATTATTATTATTATTAAAAAGTAAAAAAATAATAATAATAATAATAATTCCACTTACTCCCCCTTTTAACTTTGCAGGGGGGGAGGGAGCATTCACATACCTGGTGGTCCAGTGAGGGGGGGCTACGCCACACACACATTCCTGGCGGTCCAGCGGCAGGTAATTCAGTCTGTACCCCGCAGGGTACAGACAAGGTCTCTCTCTCTCTCGCGAGCTTCGAGATTATCAGAGCGTTGCCATGGTAACCCACGGCAACGCTCTGAAAAAACGGCGCTCGCGAGAGGAGAAAGGAAGCTGCTCGGCGTGCGCAGAGGGTGATCGGCTCACTGCCCGATCTCCTCTCCGGCCCATGATGGGATAGAACTCCATCTTGGTGCCGGTGCTGCTGCGCATGGGCCGGTAGGGGAGATCTCTTGATCTTTCCTACTGGCCTTGGTCCATGGCCATCGCGGCCCACCGGGCATTTGCCCGGTTTGCCCGATGGCCAGTCCGGGCCTGGATACAGGACATGTGGGGTTCCAGTATGTTTTAACTATGTTTTGGGGTACTTTTAATTGTTTT